TGGATGTGCCAAATAATTTGGAAGACAGCTACCTAGCCAACGAACTTGAAGTAATTCATATTTGTTCTCATTCCCAAAAAAGGTAATCCATCAGAGTGTAAAAATTATAAAATGGTATCATTAATATCACTTGCAAATAAAATCTTGCTGAAGACTATTTTAAAACTGCCAGAATAGTACATTAACAGTAACTGTCTGAAATTCAAGCTGGATTCAGAAGAAGCTGTCCTTAGGATATCAGTAGGATATCATTGCTGATGTCAGACAGATCTTCACTGAAAGCAGAGAGTACCAGAAAAATATTCATTTATGTTTCATTGACTATGCAAAAACATTTGATTGCATGGATCATAAGAAATTACAGACAATATTGAGAAGAATGGGAATCCCAGAATACTCGTTGTGCTCATGTGAAACCTACAATTAGACCAAGAAACTGTCATCCAAACACAAGGGGACATTGCATGGTTTTAAATAAGCAAAGATGTGTTATCAAGGTTATAGCCTTTCTCTATACGGACTAATCTCCATCCTGAGTAAATCATTCAAGAAGCTGGACTTTATGAAGAAAATGTGGTATCAGAATTAAAAAGTCAACAACCTGTAGTATGCAGATGACACAACCTTCTTTGAAGAAAGTGTTGAAGATTTGAAGCACCAACTGCAGAAGATCAACAGCTACAGCTTTCAATATAGTTTGCATCTCAACATTAAAAAAACATAAATTCTCACCAGTGGGCCAACAGACAACATCATGATAGAAAGACTGAAGTGGTCACCAATGTCATTCTACTTGGTCCACAATCAACCTCCACAGTAGCAACAGTCAAGAAATTAAATCTGCTGTCAAGGACCACGTCAAAAGAACAAAGAGCAATGATGTCAGTTTCAAAAACTAAGGTTTGCCTGATCCAACCTATAATTGCTTCCTGTGCATTTGAAAGTTTGACAATGAATATGGATGACAAAAAAATGGATGCCTTTGAATTGTGGTGTTGGAGACGAGTGCTGAATATCCAATGAATTAGAAAAAGAACAAACAACTCTATCTTGGAAGAAGTACAACCAGGGTGCTCTTTAGAGGCAAGGGTGGTGAGACTTTATCTCACATACTTTGGGCATGTTGTCAAATGGAACCAGTCCTTGGAAAAACACAGCATGCTGCTAAAGGTGGAAGGTGAGGAAGAGAGAAATGAGACGGTCTGATACATTGACTGTAACAAGGAGCTTGAGCATATTAAATACAACGAGTATGGCAGAGAATAGTGTAAGGTTCCGATCTGTTGCTCACAGGGTTGCTATGAGTAGTATTCAACTTGATGGCACCTAACAACAACCAAAACAATTATCATGATAAAATTAGGGGGGAAATCTAAATCTGTGGACAGTCCAAAATGTTAAGAAAGCTTGCTTCCAAACCTGTCTTAAACTGGGAGCTCCACCAAACACTGTCCACCATGGGCAGTCATTATGACATTTGACCCCCAATGGCACAAGGTTTAGCATCACTGCAAACCCAGATTACCTCAGTGCAGCAAATTGACAGAGAAGTGCTGTACAACTCAGAAGACTATTCTTCCATAATAAAATAACATTAGACCCTTGGGTCCAACTGACTTTTAAATACAAGGGAGACATGTATACACACACAAACCGAGTTTTAAATACAAGGGACACACACACACACATGCATGGTCTGAAGCTTTCAAACTTCTATGAACTTGGAGTTTTTCTTCAGTAGATGTATTTGATTAGTGTTTTCATAAAGAATCACCTTTAAATCCAATTAACTATCAAAACCATAAAATGTGCTTCCCAGTTGTGAGTCAGGGCTTAGTGCATGTCTGTATAACTATTGAAAGCCATCTAATGGTACAGTGACATTCTTCTGGTATTCTTTGCTTTCACCTAGGAAACTTTTGCCATTAGCAATGATATCCCTGGTGTCATGACCTCTTCTAAATACAGCCTGCACTTCTGGCAGTTCTCAGTCTATGTACTGGTCTAGCCATTTTGTAATAATCTTCAGCAGGATTTTGCTTCCCTGTGATAGTAAAGACATTGCTATTTTACTCCTTCTGTTGGATCACCTTTCTTGGTAATGGGAACAAATATAGATCTCTTCCAGTCAGTCGACCAAGCTGCTGTCATCCAAACTTTTGGTAGAAACTAGTGGGCACATCACGGCTGCATCTGTTAGATGGAAACATGTCAGTTGGTATCCTGTTGACCTCTGGGGTCTTATTTTTTGCCAATGCCTTCATTGCAGCTTGAACTTCTTCATTACCACTGGCTCTTGAGCATATGGTACTTCTTGAAATAGTTCAGCATTAACCAATTCTTTTGCTGCAATGATTCTGTGTATTCCCTCCATCTTGTTTTGATGCCTCCTGGATATTCAAAGATTCAAGAATCTTTCAGTATTACAACTGAAGGCTTGAATTTGTTTTCCCGTTCTTTCAGCTTAACAAATGCTGGCAAGCTCTTCCCTTTTTATTCTCCAGTCCAGCTCTCTGCACGTTCCTTCTTAATACTGTGCTTTGAAATCTTCTGTTCCACTCTTTTACTCTAGCATCCCTTTCCTTTTAGTTTCTCAACACTTTAGTGCAATTTTTAGTCTCTTCTGACATTTATTTTGGCTTTTTCTTTCCTGTCTATCTGTGCTTTATTGACTATGTGAAGGCATTCAAGTATGTGGATTATAAATTATAGCTAGCATTGTGAAGAATAGGAATCTCAGAACACTTAATTGTGCTCATGTGAAACCTATACCTAAACCAAGAGACTGTCATGCAAACAGAGCAAGGGAACACTACATGTTTTATAATTAAGAAAGGTGTAGTCAGAGTTGTAGCCTCTCTATATACCTATTCACCTATTCAATCTGTATGCTGAGCAAATAATTTGAGAAGGAATCCTATATGGCATCAAGATCAAAGAAAGCCTCATCAATATGTGATGGAGGGTCAGGTATGGGTAATTTCTGATGTGTGGGCATTGAGAGAGATGATGTATGTGAATAATTTGACATGCAGTAATCTATTATGGCATATTTACAACAATTAGAAAACTTTCTGAAAAAGTTTTCTGGAAAATGATGTTTTGCCCATTTCTGTTTTTAGAATTCTCAACCAAAACACTCTATCTTTTAAATTGGAGACATCAGTACACTAAATCTCACAATTTAGGTCTCAAGATAGCATTCATCTCAGAAATGTTGTTCAGTTTATAAATGATGCTTAAATATGCTTTTTCTTCTGTACCTTCCATGGACTTCCAAAAGAACAAACAAGCATGTATTGGAGAAAGTTCAACTAAAGTGCTCCTTAGAAGCAAGGAGTGTGAAACTTTGTCTCTCTACTTTGAGCATTATTATTAGAAGAGGCCAGTCAGCTTTTGGAAAAAGGGGATGGTTCATGGAAAAGTGGAGGGTCAGTGAAGCAGGGGAAGATCCTCAATGAGATGGACTGACTTGGTTATTTTAACAATGAGTTCAAGTATTTAAGAGATGATGGGGATAGCGCAGAATAGGGCAGGATTTTGATCCGTTATTTCTTAGTTGTAGTCAACTCGAAAGCACCTAACAAAAAAAAGTATTCTAATACGTTTATTAGAGATTTCTGGTGGCAGAGTGGTAAGAAGCAGCACTGCAATCTACTAGCAGCTTCGTGGGAGAAGAAATGGACAATCTCTGGTGCTATTAACTGCCTCTGAAATACCGCTGGAGGTTGAGATATGGGTCAGTTCCAACTCAATGGCACACAACAGTAGGGTTTTTTTTTTTTGTGTCGCCACTCCATTCTTGAATACTTTAAGGCCCGAAGAGATTCAGGTCAAAGAATCTGGGAGTTCAGTGTTGTTTTGTAGGTACATGGGCCTTAAGAAACCAACTTGTGTGATGGAGCGATTCATTATACTACCACGTCTCAGACAGAAGGAGAAATGCCTTGGAGAGGTTCCCAGTGCTGGATACTTCAGCTTTCTGAGGGGGAAAAAAACACCACCACACACACCACAATGAAGAAAGCTGGGTGAAAACATAATGTATACAAACCTTCTAAGCAAACCACTTTTTATCTTTTCTTTTTAAAGGCTGGCTGTCGAGCCTTTAAACCAAGCGAGGTTTTTTCCTTAAGCTTCACAGCCACGTGGCGCTGCCAAAGATAGAGACCCACCTGCCGCTCGTCAGGCTGCCCGCTCCACTCTCCCTTCAAAAGGATTTGCGACGTCCTATTTGAGCCTCAGGACCTCAAGGGTCTCAGCGTACAAGCCTAGCTCCCACTCAAGGCACTCTCATTCGACAAGTTACCCAAAATTTTCACTCCAGGGCCAGGTCGGGGAACAGGTCCCAGGCGGGGCGGGGAGGGGCAGGGTGGAACCCACCTTCCACCGCAGCCAAGGACTCAGCATCGCCCAGCTGTGCCTCCCAACCAATACCAGACTCTAGGAACCGTAGCTGGGTCGCTCACCTCCAGCCACTCAAGGCTCACCCGGTCTGGAGAAAGGTGACATCATCGTAGTTAGGAGGTTTCAGAAGACTCCACCAATAGAAAACAGGCGAAGTAGCTTGTCTTCTGTAGCTCTTGGCCAATACTAACAAAGCAAAAGGGGGCCTGGTTGTCGGTATAGAACCAATGGAAAACAGGGAAGAGCACGAGGCGGAGTTGCGAATCCTGTCACCAATTGGAGAGAGGGGGTGGAGCCCGGACCTTGTCAAGCATGCCCACCTAGCTAGAAGAGCTGATCGGGGGCGGAGCTTTACTGTCCTCTCCCAATAGGGCATGGCCAAGGGCGGGGCATTCTTTGGAGTGTCCAATGAGGAACGCAGCCGAAGCGGGCCTGTCAAGAAAGGGGCTGGTGGGGAGGGGAGGGGGATGGTGGACGGGGATAAACACTTCGCCGCGGTGGTAGCTGCTGCTCAGCCCCAGGTTCTGTCACGGTTTCGGTAGTGCTCAGATCAACAGCCTTCCCGCTTTCCAGTGAGCAGAGTCCCTGAGAGGCTCTGTCAGCCTTGCTCCACAGAGTCCACAGTGAGGAGCGGGTGTCCGACGGCAGCGCCGAGCCTGTGGACAGTGGGGGTTGGTCCCGTGGCTCCGGCCCCCGGTGCAGAATGGCGACGGCGGTTCGGATGAACATCCAGTTGCTCCTTGAGGCGGCCGACTACCTGGAACGGCGGGAGAGAGGTGCAGTGGGATGGGGAGGGCGTTTAGCCAGTTCAGGGCCGGGGCCCCCTGAGGGGCTGCTCTGCGCGTCTGGGTGCCTGACCGCTGCCGAGGTTGTTGGAAGCGTGGAGAGCGCGCTCGCAAGTGCTGCCAGCCCCTCTGGTTCTCCCTTACACGCTGTTCCGGGGCCTCCGCTGCCCAGAAGCAATGAATGGGGGTGAAAAAGGGCCTCTGCCTTCGGGCGTCCCGAGCGCTGCTTCTCACACTTTAGCGAGTAGGGGGTCCAGGTCCCCTGATTTCCTTCCCGCAGCCAGTCCCCGAGTGGGCCTGGTGTCCAGTCTCCCAGTGCCCTGGGATTACCCCACACCTTCGCCAGAGGCAGGTTCCACTTAACACACACTAACCTGCTGGACGCAGCATGCAAACGGGAAACCCAGGCTCCATGAGCTGAGTGACTCTCAACAATGAGCAGCTGGAATCCTCCTTACACCTCTGAATTGAGGGTAGTCACACAATAAAAAAAAACCAAAACCAACCAGCCAAAATCTAATCGATCACAGAGTCCTGCCTTTAATGCATTTTATTTTTTTCAATAATATTTTTTTCAATTAGCCTCAGAAACAAAAATGAAAATAAAGAACCAGTGTAGAGGGAAGAAAGTATTGAATCTTCTGGGCTCATACATTAACTGGATCCTCCGGTTTTCTAGAAGCTGAACATGGTTATGCCTCCATGTTACCATACAATAACAAGGACAGAGATGCCTTAAAACGGAGGAACAAATCCAAGAAGAGTAACAGCAGTAGCAGGTAATTTGATAAAGATTTCTATTTTTCTTTTAGGTTAAACTGTAGGTAAATCAGTCTGTAGATTGTAACTTGCCTTTTGTGCTTATAACCCTGTAAATACATTCAGTGGTAATCATAATTCAGACTTAAACCATCAGACGAAGCAGTCTTTCCGTTTGAATTGAAAGAACTTAAAAGAAATAGAAATGTTTTACATTTCTTTATGAACAATGGTTCTGTGTGTGTGATTTAATTTTGCATTTATTCCTTGGAACAAAAATCTAGGGAAGGTTAGAGTTTAAGTTAACAATAGTGGCAATATTTTTCTTCAGAAGTTGTAGCTTCAAGTTTTCTGTAATTGAAAAAACTGCATATTATAAATTTCTTTTACTCTTCATAGTAAACATTTATGAAATTTAAAAATCTGAATTGGCATAGATGGTAACTTTTTTTTTTACCTTTTTTTTTTTTTTACTTGTAAAGGAAAATCAGTGCTTCACTTGATAATCTAATTGGTTATATCTATTTGTAATGGCCATGAGGAATTATTGAGGTGAAAGCCCACCTGTTTGGTGATGGGACAATGTTACTATTAAAATATGCCAAATCCCTTTCATTTGAGTCGTGTAGTTCTTGAAAGATGAAATCTCACTGAGAAGAACTTGATTAACGGTCAGTGAAATAGAATATTGACACCTGAGAGATCCATCAGTGCTCTTCACTCTTAAATTTTTATTTGGTTGGGCATGGTTTATTACATTCTTTTAATTTTTCCTTTCATGCCAGTAAATTAATTTACTTTTGCATCATTGTTTTAGAACCTCATCCTCCTGTAGTCCTCCCCAACAAATAACTCTTTAAAATAACTGTGTTTGGGTAGTCTGAAAGAGTTTCCCCTTAAACCTAAAACTCACTTGTTCTTGCTGCTGCTTCTGCCCTTAGTTCACCCCACTGTCCTTGTGTTGGTAGTGGAACACAAGACACGTTTAGTACATGTGCTGTGCTCTTGCATACTCTAGCATGTAAAGGATGCCTTGTTTTCTTACCTGTGGTATCACTTGAAAGGGGTAGCTAAGGCCCTTTCATAGAACTATGAATGCTAACTTTAATTATGTAATGATATAAAAGTAATTAAGCTGTGCTTCATTTTGTTACAGAATTAATTAAAAAAATTTGTTAGAAATTTCTGAGGCTTTTGCTTTGTTTTACAAGAAAGTTTAGTTTGTTGTTTTCATAATGATTTGGAAGGAGTTATCCATGTTAGTAGTCCAAGTTTCCTACCTTAATTTTTTTTTTAATAGTTTCACAGGAAAGTTGTGTCATATAGTAGGTGGCTTGTTATGTGCTGTCCAGTTGACTGTGACTCACAGTAGACTTTCTACTCTGCTTTACCCTGTGCTATCATCATCATCTCCATCACACTTGAGTCTATTGTTACAGTCACTGTGTCAGTCCATCTTGTTGTGGATCTACCTCTTTTAAATTGACCTTTGCAAGAATGATGTCCTTCTCCAAGGACTAGTCCCTCCTCACAACTGCCCAAAATATGTGAGACAGAATTTCACCATCTTTGCTTCCAAGGAGAGGTGAGATTTCTCAGTTGAAGAGAAGTGTCTTATCCTAGAAAGTGATTTTAAAAAAAAACAAAAACAAGAACACCTCATTCGTTCAGTTGGAACGTACTCGTAGCTGACACTCCATTGCCTGCAAATTGCAGGGGAGGGGATTGCTCATCTTTCGCCCACAGAGAAGCTGGTAGAGTTGAACTGCCAGAGAAGCACCACCTGGTTAGGAGAAAAAGGGTAGTTGAGAATTTCAGGTCAAGTTATAGAGTCCGCCCCCCACCATCATTATTTCTGAAAACTGCCAAAGCTTTTGATTTTTACCCAAAGCTCTTTTTTGTCCCTGAACTTGGTTTGCTTTCCATTGTTAGATTGTCCCTGGAAACAATCACAATTATCCATATTCTTGACTAATAATTAATGACATTTTCCATGGTGCAAGGGTATGTAAGAGACTTCCTAATTAAACCTGGGGATAACCCTCAAGCAAACAAATACAGCAGAAAAGGTTATTTTTTTTTTAAAGTAATCACTTTCTTTGTGACCTGTGTAGAGTGATTGTGAAGTATTTAAAGAATAGAGTTTGACTCTTTGATTTTGATTATAGACTTATGTCTAAGACCACATATGGGCAGAATTTTGAACTGAGGTGAGGGGAAAGGAGAGATTACCACTAGTTTATGTAATAACTAGATGACAGTTTATTCTTCTTAATTCAGATTGAATTACTGTACTCTTTGCTTAAAGAGTCTGGAAAGTATTTTCTCTTGCACAATAAAATATAATATTTAACCTTATATCAAACTTCTTGGTAACTGAAAATACAGATCTTAAGTTTTCTCTGTAGTCACTCATTTGAGGAACAAAAACAATGAAATTGTGACTATTGTTTTAGAGTCATCAGAGCACTTTTAGAATATAGCCATATAGGATATTTTTTCCTAATGACTTTTAAAAGCAGGTACCAATTATTTAGAGTTAGTATCCAGAGTTTTTAAAAGTGTATTTTACTGAATTAGGAAAGCAAATTGTGGCGCTCATGTGAAAGAGAAAGTTCTAGACTAATCTTTGTTTTTTAAGATAGAGCCTACAGAACTGATTTGACAAGGAAAGTCGTTCTGAGCCTATGAAATTTTTCCATTTCTCAGATACTTTAGTTTTGTGGTGGTGGTGTTAGAATACATTTTTTCCTAATGAAATTTGACCTTTGTCAGTGATTCCAGAGTTATAAAGTCTTTTCTGAAATCACATGGAAAATAGTTTTGATGCAAAGTATCTATGTGTTCCTCTAATGCTTTAATTAAAAATATTTTTACCCACTAACAGAGGTGCCAGGCAATCTCTGAACGGATTGTTTTTGAAAGGCCTGCTATTTATTTAACATGTAGATTCAATAAACCAAATGCAATCACTCTATGTTTAACCCTGAAAAATAACCAAGTAAGAGCTGTTGTTTCCAGAACTCTGTTGAAAGCTTGGAAAGAGTTGTATTTCCTATGTAATTCTTTTATGTAGGAAATTTAAAATGATTTAAATATAAGAACGCAGAAAGTTTTAGAAGTGTATGCAGTGTATTATTTTCTTTTATTAGAGACTATATATGCCTTTCACCCTGCACATCTCTTCCCACTTTGTTAAACAGGAAGTCTGATCAGCCATTGTAATATGCTTTTATTCACTTAAAAACTGTCAAACTTTAACCTTGTTATCCTCTGTTAAAACTAAAATGCAGGCCAGGTTCTTGCTAACTAATCTTGCTCTCTATTGTAGAAGTTAGAAAAAAATGTGACTGAAGAATACTGAGGAAAGGATAACCACATAAACCAATTTAAAGCTTTTAAGTTAATCACTTTCAAGGTCCACGTGGTCTTTATCTAGAAACCAATATTATAAATGTAAAATTTAGATATTCTCTTACTGAGGTGTTTTTCTCCCTCCCAAAGTTGAAAAAAAAAAAAAAGGTAACTTGAGGGAGAGATGATTTAGTGCTGCATTGAAATTTTTCCCGTTTCAAGATGTATCCCTACACCACCATCACCACCACTCTAATACCTAGTGTGAATGAACTTGGTGGTGGTGTTCTTCCCACCACCCATATCAGTGGTGAGTGAGCATTCATGAATTAATGTTCCCTCATGATCATTATGAGAATATATCTTCTGTACCCAGTAAGGAACCAGCTCTGCCCCACAGACTTCATGACCTGAGCTAGGGAATAAGTTAAGTAAATAAATAAGAAAGGTCAAGACTCAGCTCCTTTGTAATGCCAGGAGGTCCCTCCTGCCTCTGAAGTTTAATTGGTTTTAGGAAGCAGTTGTATGTGAAAAAACACTGGAGTGCTGCATTGACTGACTCTTTGACTGTGATTTTGTGGGAACTTGCCATGAGTTCTTAGACCAGACCTTATATTCAAGGTCAGCTGTAAACTGACTAATGATATGATTTCAGATCTACCACAGCTTTCATCCAAGGTTTTCTGTTCACTTTTACAGTTGTTACCTCATTGATCCACGCTTGTTCAGTAGGTAATTGGTAATTAATCCATCTTACAGAGGGGTTAACCAAGGACAGGTTGCTGAAGAGTTTGATTGCTTCCACAGCATTCCAACTCAGTGCTGTTGCATTGGAATCGACTCGAAGCTGACACTCCAGTGGATTTTTAAAGGCCATAAATAGCAAGGGAGAAGATTGCCTGAATTCAAACTGCTAGAGAGATGTTACCTTTGGGTTGCAACTCCCTACACACGAGGCTGCCAAAGGCGTCAGTAGCAAAGCTTGCATTTCAAATTTCACACGAACTGCTGCTTCCACTAGTGTTTGTGTTGAGCTGAGTTGTGAAAACTCCTTCCTAAGGTGAACTCTTTTAGGAGATTGTACATGAGAAGTGTTACTGTAGGGGGTGGAAAGATACAGAGGAGAGGTTATTTTATCCATTTAAATCTGTATCCTCTAATTAATAAGTTAGCATAACATTATACTATATTGTATTATGGGAGCTCTGGTGGCCTTGTGGCAAGAAGCTGTGCTGCAGTCTCAAAGGCATGCAGTTCGAGGCCACCAGCTGCTCGGCGGTAGGGCGAGGTACACAACAACAGCCTACTGTATTATATGTAGAAAAAGGTGCAAAGCTAGAGATGTAATTCCAGCTCCACTATTCAGCTTCAGCTGTATGGTATTCTATAACCTAAAACCACAAGTCTTTGTGCAGCTGTTTTTCTCGTTGTATAAATAAGCTCCCTTTTATTACCTTCCTCAATATGCGTTATTTTTCAATGAAGGATTATGTGGCTTAGTTATTCTCCTTGAAGATGATTTTAGATATTTGTGTTCAATGAGATGGACTGATCCAGTGACTATAATAGTGGGCTCAAACATGGCAGAATCTCTGAGGGTGGCATAAGACAGGGCACAGTTTTGATCTGCTGTTCATAGAGTTGATATGAGTTATAGCTGACTTGATGGCACCTAACAACAACAAAACTCCTCAGATGGACTAATATCTTTAGTAGATCCCAGTATCTTTTTCTTTCTCCTCTTTGCTATGAACTTTGAAAAGTACAAAATTTAAAAATTTATCATGTTGATGTTGAAGTAGTCCCTCAAGAAAATAATTTTTTGTTTCCTTTTTCAGATCAACTCACAATGAAATGGAGAAGAATAGGTAAGTTAGGGATTTTGGTAGTAGAATGGGGAGGATTTTGATGCATTCTTTGTTTAATCATTTCTCTTGACCCTCACAATCCCTGAGTTAAGAGAATCCTCTAAGTGGCACTGTCAATAAATCACTTAGTTCTGAGACCATGCCTCCAAGCCCATTCCTTTTGATAAATGCTTTTACATGCACAGAAATACACATAAGGATGTGCATATAGATTACAGATTATGCACACACATGAAAATAGACATAAAATGAACAAAAATCTTCACTGTTCTTGAAAATAAAAAAAAGGAAATAAAGAACAAAAACCTGCAAACATCAGGTAGTTTCTGACTCATTGTTATGTTCTGTTGAGTATGACTCATAGCTACCCTGTGAACAACAGATCTGAAGCCTGTCCTTTCCTATGCTAACCTCATCTCTGATATACTTGAGTCCATTGCTGCATTCACCGAGTCAGTCCATGTGGTTGAAGGTCTTCCTCTCTTTTGATGAACCTCCACAGGATGTTCCTTTCCTAGGAATATGCCTGAAGTATGTGGGACAAAGCTTTGTCATCCTTGCCTCTAAGGAGCACTGTGGCTCCCTTTTCCCCAAGACATCTGTTTGTTCTTTCAGCAGCTCATGGGACATTCAGTACTATTTTACAACATCAGAGATCAAATACATCAAGTCTTCTGTCATCCTTATTATTGTCCAGCTTTCAGATGCATAGCAAGTGATTGAAAAGACCATGACCTGAATCAGGTGCACTTAGTTTTCAAACTGACATAATTGCTCCTTAGCAATTTGGAGAGGTTCCTAATAGCAGACTTTCCCAATGTAGTATGTCTACTGATTTCCTGACTGCTGGTACCAAGAGTGTTGATTGTGGATCCAAGTAAGTTGAAATCCTTGACAACGTCAATCTTTTCTCCATCTATCATGTTGCTTATCAATCTAGTGCTGAGGATGTTTGTCCTGTAGAGATGCAATCCATATTGAAGGCTATAGTCTTTGATCTTATGAAGCAAGCACTTCAAGTCCTCCTCACTTTGAGCAAGCAAGGCTGTGTGATCTGCATAATGCAGGTTGTTGATGAATCATTCTTTAGTCCTGATGCCACATTCTCATAGAGTCCAGCTTCTTGAATGCATCCACGTTGAATAGGTGGAGATAAAGGATACAACCCTGATCCACACCTTTTCTTAATTTTAAACCATGCTTTAAAATGTCTGATCTTTTCTGCCCGCTCCCCAGCAATTCAGATTAGTTGGTTTGGATTGAAACTGTGTACTAGTACTTTGTTAAGGCTCCCCAGGTAGTTCTCGTGTGCAGCCAAGGCATCATTCAGCAAGCCTTGTTCTGGTCTCTCTGCTCTCATAAACTTGAAATACCTGTTATCATGAATAAGAGGAGGATGATGCTTCATGTAAACATTTTAAAAAAAAAAGGTCCAAGTCTGAAAGCCTGCATCTAAATACTTTTTTTTCTTTGGAGAAAGGACACACCATGCCCTTTCCAGCAGGGGTATGGGGTAGGCAGAGAGAAAGCTTCTTACCATTTCTATTTTTATTTTAATTGCTCCATTATGTTGTGGGGCCAGAGCTTCCTTTGTGCTTTAGGACTTTATATACCATGAACTAGAAGCTCAAATGTATCTCTTCTTAAGATAAAAATAGTAGATGTAGCCTCTCTTTCTCATATTTACATTTTTCCCCATCTTCCTGCCCCTGAGGTGTCAAACCACCCACTTTGAATTTCACCATATGAGTGGGGGGTTGTTGTGTACTGTCAAGTCGGAACTGACCCATAGCTGACCCTCCAGAGAGTTTCCAGAAGCAGTTAATCTCACACGGGAGGAGACTGCCCTTCCTTGTCCCATGGAGCAGCTGGCAGACTTGAACAGCTTGTACTCAGGATTGCAGTGCAGGTTCTTACCACTTAAAATAGGGTGTTGTCTAAGGAGCAGAAACAGAACATGGCACAGGACCATTTCTCTGAAAGGGCCAGAGGGAGTGATAATAGCCCATCCCCTCACTGCCTCAGAGCAGAAAACAGATAAACAGCACTATGGTGCCTCTAGAAGCCACAGCAGTAGCAAGAGGTTTGCTTATTCATGGTTGACTCATAGATCACAGTTGTGGTACCAAAGATGGAGTTTATTAGGGGAGTAAGTTGGAGAGTGGGGGAAGCAAAGAATATTGAGCAAAATAAATCCAGGTTTTAGGTTTGTTACCATCCTTGCCTCTATGGCATATTCTGGTTGTACTTCCTTTGAGACAGATTTGTCAATACTTTTCCCCCAACATCATAATTCAGAGGCATTGATGATTCTTCTTGCATCCTTATTCATTGTCCAACTTTCTGAATAGAAAATACCATAGCTTGGATCAGGGACACCTTAATCCTTAAATTGACTTCCTTTGGCTTTAGAATTTTGGAGAGAGCCTTGACAGTATATTTCCCCAATGCAGTGTGTCTTTTGATAACGTTACTGCTGTTACAATGTGTTGATTGTGAATCTAAGTAAAATGAAATCCCTGGCAACTGCAGTCTTTCATTCATCTATCATGATGTTGCCTGTTGGTTCAGTGGTAAGAATTTTTCTTTTCTTGATTTTGCAATGTAACTCATATTGAAGACTGTAGTCTTTGATCTTCTGCATCAAGTGTTTCAAGTCTTCAGTTTATGCAAGCAAGGTTGTGTCATCAGCATAACTGAGTTTCCTCCAATCTTGATGTCACAGTCTTCATTCTTGATGTCTAGCTTCTCGAATGTTTTTGTCAGCATATAAAATGAGTAAGTATGGAGAAAGAATACAACCCTGATGTACACCTTTCCTGATTGTAAACCATACAGTGTTCCTTTGTTCTGTATAGAGGTTTTGCATGAGCACAATTAGATATTCTGGGATTCTCATCCTTTACAATGTTCACAGTAATTTGTTATGATCCACACAGTTAAATGTCTTGGCATAATTAGTAAAACACAAACTTTTCACCAATATCCATCTGAAATCAGATCTCTTGGGCCACTGCCTCTTCTGAATCCAGGTGGAATTGATGGCATTTGCTTGTTTCTATGCTGTTGCAGTAATTTTAAAAATGATTTTCAGCAATATTTTACTTGTACATGTAATATTCATCATATTGAGCAATAATTCCCACATTCTGTTTTTGGAAATAGGAACAAATATGGCTCTTCTCCAGTCAGTTGTCAGGTGGTTGTCTTGTAAGTCTGTTGGCAGAAACTGGTGAGCAGGTACAGGGCTGCATCTGTCTGTTGAAGCATGTCAGTTGTTATTCCATCATTTCCCTGGGCCCTTGTTTTTTTGCCAGTGCCTTTAGTGCACCTTGAACTTCTTCCTTCGGTACTGTTGGTTCTTGATCCTATGCTACTCCCTGAAGTGGTTCATTGTCAACCAGTTCTTTTTGGCATAGTGATTCAGTGTATTCCTTCCATCTTTTAATGCTTCCTGCATCTAATATGACCCTCCAAACCCAAATCCTTTACTATAAAATTTTTCCAATTCATAGCAACCCTTGAGGATACAATAGGACTTTCTGTTAGGATATCCAAGCCTGTGAATCTTTATAGAATAGGCTGGTTCAGACTGCCAAACTTTCAGTTAGCAGCCCAATGTTTAATTCACTGCAACACAAGAGTTTATGTGCAAATATAAGCTGATTCAATCATTGAGGTTTTATCATGCACTTCAGGACCTGGTGAAGTCATCTCTTCCCTTTATTCTTTTTTTCTTTATTAATTTTTTTTATTCTTCTATTTTTAAATTATACTATTTATAACATACTGCTAGGAGAAGCTCTTCTTTGGAAAGGGACATCACGCTTTGAAAGGTGGAGGCTCAGCAATAGAAATGAAGACCCTCAATGAGATGGATTGACAGTCATTCCAGCATTGGGTTCAGGTGTGCCAGAGATGATGAGAATGGTACAGGCTTCAGATCTGTTGCTTCCTGAAAGTTCAGAGGACTTGAAAAGCTTGCTACAGAACATTAAAGACTTTTAAAGCCCTCAATATGGATTGCATCTCAACATCAAAAATATAAATACCCTCACCTCTAGACTGATAAGCAACATCTTGATAGAGAAAAGATTGACGTTGTCACTGATTTCATCTTACTTGAGTCTGTAATCAACACCCTTGGTTTCAGGAGATCAGGAGACCTATAACATTGGGAAAATCTGCTGTTAGGAATCTCTCCAGATTACTGAGGAGTAATTATGTCACTTTAAAGACTAATGTGCACCTGATTTATGCCATAGTCTTTTCAGTCACTTACTATGCATCTGAAAGCTGGACAGTAAATAAGGATGACAGAACAGTGCTGAACAAACATATGTCTTGGAGGAAGTGGATCAGAGTGCTTCTTGAAGGCAAGGATGACAAAACTTCATCTCACATACTTTGGGCATGTTCCTGGGAAAGGCTATTCTTTGGAGGGAGACATCATGCTTTGAAAGGTTAGTAAAAGAGATGAAGACCCTCTACGAAATGGATTGACACAATCACTACAGCACTGGGTTCAGGTGTGCCAGAGATGATGAGGATGGCACAGGATAGGACAGGCTTCAGGTCCATTGTTCACAGGATTGCTATGAGTTCTATTTAGTGGGACCTAACAACAATAACAACATTTGTTCAGATCTCTTTTCTGTCTCTGAACAGTTTCTGTTTTGGTGTTTCCACACAGATCTCATACTTTTTATAAACAAGTAATCCTGGGTTTTTATATTATTTTAATTTCTATTGCATTTGCACTATAATTACTAGGAAACATTTTTAATTGTGTGTTATTACATATCCTTTATTGTTGATATTTCCTTAGTGAAATGTTTTCCTGTAACCCTTTCAGCCAGTGGAGATTGGGTGAATGAATACACATAAACTGCAGCCTGTGGGTTGGAAGTTGGGTGCTAAAATGTACTCCATTTCAAAAGAAACCTCTAGCATTTCCTTTAATAGTAGATACCCAGTTCTCTAGAATAGTACATATGCAA